AAGAAAGAAAGAAAGAAAGAAAGAAAGAAAGAAAGAAAGAAAGAAAGGAGGGAAGGAAGGAAGGAAGGAAGAAAGAAAGAAAGAAAGGAAGGAAAGAAAGGGAACAAAAAGCAAATAACAAAAACAAAAAAGAAAGAAAGAAATCCTCATTTTTTTCTTTCCTTTTTTTCTTTCTTTCGAGGAAAAAAAAAGTAACCTTTAAGAGCAAGGAGTCTAAAGTAAGCAGAAGCAGGAGAATAAAATACACCAACACCACACATCATTAGTGCAAAGAACCCTAAAAGGCAGCAGTGATCCATTGGTGATGGAAGAAGAAGTGATGAAACACGTTTCTCTCCTATTAGTAGAGAGATGGGGGACTTATGGGTGTGGAATGGTAGTATAGGTGCAGATTCAATTGTTAAATCAGTCAGTTTTAACTGGTTTTTCTTTGTCACAAGGGAATGTTCAGTGTGTGTGTGTGTGTGTGTGTGTGTGTGTGTGTATCAGGAAATAGCTGATATCAAAAAAGTAATTGATAACATTTTTAATGCTGTTGACATTTTTAATGATTTGTAATGAGACCTACTGATTTCCCACTATGGATGAATGGGAAGCTTAGAGAGCTTGCTGGGAAGGTGGCAGATGGCACTACATTGGGAAGAAATCTCTGAGGATACTGGATACACTACCTTGGGGAACAGGATCAAAAATTATAACAACCTTGATAAGATGAAAGAGTCACAAACACATGAGGAAATTCTAGTTCAGTGTTGTATTCTTAGTTCAGGGGGAATTAGCAGGGTGACTGGCTGTGTTTAAGTAGGGTTGGTAATGACCTAGAGGTCTCTGGGTAATAATGACAACATGCATCGACAATATAGTGTTGTTATTTTTAAAATTAGCACAACATTAGAATTTCTAAGTGGTATCTAGCTGGTATGGTGCATAGAGGCCTGGCCCTCAAATCAGAAAGAAGCAAGACTATTTGGCTAACTTAAGAGTGGGTTTTCAAGAACGCATTTTTGTGTTAATGAACTCAACCATGTGTTAATCCTTTGGATTTGGGCAGGTTTCTCTCACCAATCTGCATCAATAAATGACATGCTGAATGACGACGATGTCAATGAAAAGATCACTAGGGAAGCTCCGATTAAGTGAAAACCAAGAATGGGTGAGGAGCGCACTTCTCTTTTCTTGGCTGAGAAGTGGAAGATTACTAGGGATGAATGCTGTATGTACTATCAGATGGTTTCCAGGTAGTGAGTATTTTCACTGAATTGTTTTTCTTTGTTATAAAAGAAGGTCCAGTTTGGACGGGGAACGGGGGAGTAATTTCTGAAATGACTTTGGTATAAAACCAAAGGCACCGATAAAATTTATTAAAGAAAAAATTCCCACAGTCTGCCAAAGTGGGAAGAGCAAAGAGTAGTGATCTAGTTGGAATGATTGAAGGAGAGTATATAATAGACACAGGCCTTTTTGGAAAAGAGATATGGGGAATCACAGGTTAAGAGCTTGAAGGGGCTTGAGAATTCTCCCAATGCAACCTCCTCATTTTCTAGAGAGAGTGACTAGAGTTGGGTAGGGACTTGGCCAGGACCCCCAAAATTGCAAATAGACAGAGCCAAGTCAAACCCAGGATCTCTGACTCCAAAGCCATGCTGAAAGAATGAGCAAAGCAAGAGAGATAAAGGCACCCCAGCTATAAGGAAGGAGTCTGTACTACTGGAGAAAAGTGTAACAACTGGAGAGGTCACAAGATCAGAGATGGCCAGTAGGTCCAGTGGAGAAATATGTGGCCTCGTGCTGGCCTTGGAGTAAGAAAACTTCATTTTAGGTCCTGGCTCTTCCATGTAGGAGACATGTGACCTTGGGTAGGTCACTGAAACACCCTTACTTTTTGTCTTACCTGTAAAGTGGGAATTAGAACCCTGGTATTACGTTTCTGTTATTTACAAGACAAAGTAGGCTTTCGAAGGCTAGCAAAGCACTGTGCTTACAAATTCCAATATTGTACTAATTTTAAAACCAACAGCACTGTATTGTTGATGTAAGTTTTCATTATTACCCAGAGACCTTTAGGTCATTTCCAAATCTACTTAAACATGGCCAATTACCCTGCTAAGTACCCCTAAACCAAGAAGACAACATTCAACTTGAATGCTGTATACTCTTTGCCCTTATCAAAGTTTTATACTTCTGTCTTCTTCAGATCCATTTGCCTTGAAGCACCTGTATTACCTCAGCTGAGCTCTATGGAAGAAAGAGAGAGCAGAACAAAGGCTCACCTGAATGGGGGCCCCTCTGATGGTAGCACCAACAATCCTAAGCATTCTTCCAAATAAATGTGCTTTAGGACAAATGGACCCCAAAGGCCTTGGTGCAGTTTATATCTGGTATCTGGTATTCAGCTGTTTCAGTCGTGTCTGACTCTGGGGTTTTCTTGGCAGAGATATTGGAGTGGTTTGCCATTTCCTTCTCCAGTTCATTTTTACACATAAGGAAACTGAGGCAAACAGGACTAAGTGACTTGCCCAGGGTCACACAGCTAGTAAGTTTCTGAGGCCAGATTTGAATTCAGGAAGATGGGTCTTCCTGACTCCAGACCCGGTGCTCTACCCACTGTGCCACCTAGCTGCCCACATACTCGGTATAGGCAAAGCATTCTGTGAATGTAGGTGGTATTACATCTGTCAGTTGCTGTTGTTTCATCATTGTTATCATTCTTGTTATTTTCGGCAACGTCATCCTTGCTGAGAAGCTACCATTTGTGGGAAATACATTGGACTCTGTACCTCATGTTACAAGAACAATCACTTGGTAGAAAAACTAGGGCCATGGAAAAATTGGGATGCAAAGAATGATTTTGATATCGTCTGTTTCTCATTTCTTTCATAAAAAAGGATGCCGCTCTTGTTTTTCATCACATTAAATGTTACATTTTAAAATCAATACATATTGTAAGAGAAGAATTTTGTTTGAATAATTTTCAGCCCTTAATGAACGTTTCACATGCATGCTTGATTATTCATCAGAGTGAACTATTGTCACGGAGTCTATTTAGCGTCACGTTCTGATGGAAATGTGTCTTCCTGCCTGTTCAAAATTGGCCCAGATGGAAGGGGGTTTGCGGTTGGGCTTGTAAGTGAGAAATAGCTGCGTTTGGGGCCACATGGCTTATCTTTGGGAACAGTTCTCATTCAAAATTAGAAATTGACTGCCACAATGCAGCAGCAGCCTTGTTCTCTAATACATTATCTATGTTTTGCAACATGGCATAGTGAAAAGCCAGTCCCGGAATGATTCCATTCTTCAAATGCGGGGAAGAGAATGTGTAGGTATCCATAGTCCAAGATAGGATGTGTATGTGTGTGTGTATGCATGGATGTGTGCATGTGCATGTACGTGTGTGGTTATTTGTGAAAAGCTGGCCTCTGTGTATTTTTCTGTAGGTGGACCACATGCTAGATGGACCAAATTAGAAAAAATATAAAACAAACAAACAAAAAAAAGTTGAGAGCTCAGCCTACTTTGAAGGAGGTGTAGGGGTGGCAAACAGGTGAAATCACCAGTGATAATGGCAGTGAATAAGATGCTGGAGCACACTGGAAGATATTGAAGAGAAGTTTAAACTTTGAAAACTGAATTTCATGAATTAGACAATAGAGACAATAGAAGTCCTTCTTCCTTGAATGGGACAAAAACAACAGGGCTCACGGTCTTGTGGGTTGTGATTGGTCATTTCCATTTGCACAAGGTTGATGGGCTCCTTTGCTTGCCTAGCTGCAGGTGAACCAGTTTCCAAATATGGACCTTGACAAGGGCTGGAGCATAGTATTGACTTCTCCAGCCATGCCTGTGCAATGACTTTTCCCCAAAGAGCCCACATCACTTTCACTTAGATTTAGTACAATGAGATGAGGACTGCACATCTTGGATTATAAGCAGCTTTTCCACTTGCCATGTTCTTTTCAACCTCTATTTTCTGCATTTCAACATGTCATAATTCTACCCACAGGGCCCAGAATAGCCATATGGCCCAAAGGGTGACAGCATGGTTCTAGAATCAAATAGCTGAGTTAAAGGAGTCTATTCTATTTTCCTTTACAAATCCTCTGTTAGAGATGGGGAAACTGAGGCATAGAGAAGCTAAACAATTAAAATCATACAGTCAGAGGATGGAGTCAAGATTTATCCCCATCCTACTGCTCTTTCTATTAGACCGTCTTGCTTCCTGTTGAAATCCCATCCATCAGGTCAGGTCAAAATGTCACCTCTTCCATGATGCCTTCTCTGATTGCCTCCTCCTCAGCTCTCAACAATCAGCAATGATCTTTCTCCCTTGGACTCCATGTACTGCTTTGTTTTTCAGCTCTCCAACGCTCCCCTGTGTACCATAGACACTCCTTTCCTAGGCTTCCACGTCCCCATACAGTACGTGTGATCTCTCCCTATTAGAATATAAGCTACTTGAGGGTAGGAAATGTCTCACTCTTGCATTTGTATTCCAATGCTGAGCCCAGCGCCCTAGTCATAGTAGGTACAGTGATAAATGCTTTTTCATTATTCTTTTCTTTTTCATTCATTTCATTCTTTCATTCTAATGCATTCCTCATGTATTATAGTGATATGCTTATGTGTTTTAACTCCTTACTAGGCTATAAGCAACCTGGAGGCTGTTACTTCTTTATTTCAACTTTCTATCTTTCCCAGTGCCTATTATGGTATCTACACACAGAAGGCATCTAATAAATACTTGTTGGCTGAAATTTGATGAATTGGCTTCTTTGCGTAGACAGATTCATGTGCCCAGATCACAATTGAAAACAAAATCAAATTCAATTAAATCCAACACTGTTTCCATTCTCATGAAAGTGGGAATGTTGCCTGCTCAGAAACACCTGAAAGCTTAACCCTGATAACCTAATAGCTGAAGCTATCTTAGCCATGTTTTGAGAAACTAGATCAGAGCCCCTCTGGAAAACATCTGTTTCTGGAATCATAAGACTCAATTCACAGAAAATCATTTGAGGAACGTGGGCAGCCTTGAGCTATAGACATCCTCAAGCTACACCTCCGGGTGATATTATTACCTGAAGCATTGCAGCCGCAATCCTTGGGCAAATTTCCCTGCCTGGTAGTTTTCTCCATTCATCACAGAGGGGACAGTCTCAGTGTCCTGCACAATGACCGCCATTTCACTATCACGCTTTCCCAGCATGCTCCTGTCATTTATATTTGCAGATCCTGGGGAAAAACAGAAATGAAAATGTTTTCTCTCAACCTTAAAACCCCACAACTTTTACCACTTAAAACACCATCCTTTTACATGGCAATTATCTGATTTTTTTTAAGCCATGGAAGATTAAGAACCTTTAATGGATTTTTTTTAGTGCATGGTTAAATTCAGATATGTTGATGAAAGTCATAATCCTGTTCAGTCCCAAGAACACATTATGGAGTGAAAAGAATGCTGGATTTGGAGTCCAATGACCTGGGTTTGAATCCCGGCTGTTTATTGGGTACTATTAAAAGGTCACCTCTCAATATGGACTTCCTTTCTCCACACCCTGGCTTCCTCTGTGAAATGATGGCATTGGATGGGATGACCTCCAAGTGCCTTGTCTACTCCTCGTCTCTTCTGTGAATTGCTGCCTACTGGTACGCTCCATTCTAGTAGCATGGATCCAAAGCTTCTGTCTTTGTATCCCTAGCACATTGCACAGTGCCTGGCATACAGTAGGCACTCAATAAATGTTTATGGAATTAAATTAATTGACATTCAAAACTTTTTGGAGGGGTAGGGGGATGAGGGCAGGGGTAAGTGCTAGGGATACAAACAACAAGTGAGATAGTCCTGTTCTTACTAGCTGTGTGACCTTGGGCAAGTCATTTCACCCTGTTTGCCTCAGTTTCCTCATCTGTAAAATGACCTGGAGAAGGAAATGGCAAACCACTCCAGTATCTTTGCCAAGAAAACCCCAAATGTGGTCACGAAGAGTCAGACAGGACTGAAACAAATGAACAACAAAAATATACAACATGTTCACAGGTGGATAAATACAGGATAATCTGTTATACTTAGTAGACTATAAAATCCTTGAGGTCAAGGGTGATTTTGTTTTTGTGTTTGAATGCTTAGCACTTGATGCAGGGTCTTGGGATTTTTTAGACTGGATTTGTGCTTTTAGAGTGAGGAATTCCTGGTGGTGGAAAATTCCTCCCCTGACATGCCTTCTCTATGAGGAGAACAGGACTATCTCACTTGCTGTTTGTATCCCTAGCACTTATCCCTGCCCTCATTCCCCCCCACCCCTCCAAAAAAGTTTTGAATGTCAACTAATTTAATTCCATAAACATTTATTAAGTGCCTACTGTATGCCAGGCACTGTGCAATGTGCTAGGAATACAAAGACAGAAGCTTTGGATCCATGCTACTAGAATGGAGGGTACCAGTAGGCAGCAATTCACAGAAGAGACGAGGAGTAGACAAGGCACTTGGAGATCATCCCATCCAATGCCATCATTTCACAGAGGAAGCTAGGGTGTGGAGAAAGGAAATCCGTATTGAGAGGTGACCTTTTAATAGAACCCAAGGTGGAGGGGAGGGGTAAGAAGAAGGGAATGGAGGGGAGATGAGACAGAGAAAGAGGGGGAGAGGGAGATGGGGGATGAAGGAGGAGAAGGAGGAGGAAGAGAGAGGAGAGAGAGGGGGAGAAAAGGGGGAAGGAAAGAGAGGGAAGGAGAAAGAGATTGAGAGTCTCTGGGTTTTAAGCAAAAGCAGAAATAAAACTATCTGAGCCCCTGGACTAGAGACAACAGAATCTCAGAAGTAATAAAAAGAGAGTTTAGTGAGACCATCACCTAACTGCAGCTTTTTCTGAAGCAATCAGAAGAACTGAAAGAACCTGAAAAGGGTTGGCTTTGGGGAGAAGACAACATGGGCTGCTTTTCAAAGCATCCTGCATCAGTCACACAATCCCTTTTATGCCGTTATTTTTGACCACTGCAGTAGCCAAAGACTTTTCTGTTTGAAGAGCTCTCGAGAGTGGCTGCCTGAGAAAGGGGAAGTAATTTTCTTTATCCCCTGGGCTTCCTCCTCATAGGCACACCTGCTTAATACAAAGCATTCTCTCCCAGATCAAGTAATCATCAGGCAATAATGGCATTTACCACCAACAAATACTTGGAATGGTTTGGGGTGAGTGAAACCTCTTGCATTCCAAAATTCATCCCAGCAACAGCAGCTTACCTGGGTTACAGCTCACATCATGTATGGGGGAGATGCTACAGGCCTAGAGCTCCAGATGGGTTTTTAAGCAAAGCTTCCGCAGGATACAAAAGGCAAAAATAATTCTGTTGCTCCAGGGGTACCTTGGATCACCCAATGAGGCCCTGAGGGAGATTCAGCCTGTCGTCGTTTTTTTTTGCCATCTCTCAGCCTGACTCCTGAGTTACCCAGATGCATGAGCCAGTCAGAGCTTGGGGTCCACTTAAATGGCATAAGAGATGACTATAGAAGAGACTTACAGTTATAGAGTAAAGCGAGGACTATTGGAAATTAATTCAGAAGTAGATGTCATTCAACAGACCCTTGGGCTGTGAGTCAGCCATGTGTCACCCTAGAACCCAGATTTCTTATTACCAGGGATGTGGCAGTCTCCATCAATAAAGCAACAAGGAAAACATGGTGACAGCCACTGTGGGGCTGAAGGACCTCTGGGGAAGAGGAGTTCTCCTACCCCAAAGGACTACTGGTTGGAAAACCAGTGACTTTGAAGTGAGAGGACCTGGGTTCAAATCTTTCCTCTGATACTTACCAACGGTGTGACTTTGGGTAGGTCACTGGGACCCAGTGATTTCATCTGTTCTAAATCTATGACCCCATGATCCCTCTTGATAGCTCTTTGGACAGCATTGCATAATCAATCAGCAAGCATTTATTAAGCACGGGCTATGTTCTAGGCACTGTAAACATCTCCAAGAGAGGCAGGGGATCAGGGAGAACCTGGGGCACAAGAGACATCATATTTTTTTTTCCTGGGTGGAAGGTTGCAGAAGCCAAGAGAAGGTAATTTCTGGTAAACACAAACTCAAGCAAAAACCATACACAAAACTCAAGGCAGGAATACGTGACAATAGCTAATGACCTTAGCTCCACAGTTATCCTCCAAACTCCCAAGTGTTGTTTCCCGATAACTTTGTCCTTGAGTTCTAGAGGGCATTTCATATCACTATTTTTAGCTTTGATTACTTTCTCTGAAAACTGCCTGTTCATATCCCTTGCCCAACTAGTGCCGTTCCCTATTCTCCTTCTATCTCTGTTCCAGCATTTGTTTCTGAGCTTAATTCTAGGTGTTTCCTTTGCTCTGCCACATACTAGGTGGAGACTGTGAAAAGTACTGGACATGGAAGTCAGAAGCACCCAGGGTCCAATCTTGCCTCGGAAACTCGCTGGTTGAGTGGTTCTAGGCAAGTCCCTTAACTTGTCAGTACCTCAGTTTCCTCACTTTCAAAATAGAGGGAGGGTTTGAACTCAATCAATGGCCTCTAAGGTTCCTTCCAGCATCAAATCTGTGATTAGATCCTCACAGCCTTAGTCACCTAAACACATTTTTTCTTATGTGTTAAATAATAGCTGTAGTCAGTAATATACACAGCAACTAAATTCTAAGTTCTAGGACTAGATTCTAGGAATCTGTTTTCTGTGGCTTGGTGTCTACAGGAAGTATAACCTAGAGTCAGTGAGGGGGGTATTGGAAATAGCATTGGATTTGAAGCCAAATGCCCTGGTTTCAAATTCCAACTCTGTCTCTTACTTCCTATGTGACCTCCTTTACTCTGGGCTTCAATTGAGGGGATTGGACTAGAATGAGGTTTCTTAACCTTTTTTATGTCATGGACCCCTTTAATAGTATGGTGAAACCTATGGGTTCCTCAAAAATCATATTTTTTAAATTATTGAGGGAAATACCAAATTTCAGTTAGAAGTTTTAGTGAAGATATATATATATACATATGTGTATATATATATATATATATATATACATATGTATATATATATATATTTTTTTCCTACATCTAAGTTGACAGACATTCTGAAATCTATTGATGCTGTGGGCATCAATGGACTCCAAGGTAAGATCCCCTTGACTTAGTGGCCTCCAAGGTATTTTTTAAGCTCGATCTAAATCCTATCAACTGTCAGTAATTTATCAGAATACATTTTGTCAAAAGCGATGGAAGTCTGCTAGGCCCACAACCTTGGGCCAACCTTTTTTTCCCCTTGACACATTAGGATTAGTGAAAATTTTGAAATTAGAATTAATGTGGAGGTGTTCTGTTGGTTTTCCAAAACATAACTAAGCTAATTCAGTTTTCAGATTTAATATAATGATTCCAAGAAAATCAAATTCTTGTTTTCCTGGGAGAAGGAGGAGCACCATGTTTATTTTCCTCTGCTATGCTCCTGGAAAACTAAGGCATGCCTCTCCATCCATGTCAGGAGGCAACACTGCAGGTAGCTGGCAGTCAGTCCTGATTCTCCCAGTGACTGTGTGATTTTGAACACATCACAACCTCCCGCGCTGCTGTTTCATCCATGTGATACTCACATGTGAGAACAAAAGGAAATAATGAACTCCCAATTATGTGATCATTTGTTATCACCACTGTAGTGCAGTATGACATAATACTCTCAAGCAGACTTTCGGGAAGAGAGGAAGGCTTTATAAGATGACAAAATGGAGGTTGTGGAGACATATTGAAGTGCTGGATTTCAGAGATGGAAGGGAGCCAATCTCCTCCAGCCCACCCTGGAAAAAGAATCCCCACTACAGCATATTCAACAAATAATCATCCAGCCTCTTCTTAAAAACTTCCAGAGAAGGGGAACACATCACCTCTTGAGAAGGACCATGTCACATTTGTACTACACAAATTGTTAGGAAGCTTTTTTTTTTAAAAAAAATTAAATCAAACTAATATTTTCCCCTTTGCATGGTCTTGTGGATACGAGGGTATTAGACTTGGTTTCAAGACACTTACTAGCTCTACGACCCTGGACAAGACATTTAAGCACTCTGTAACTTAGTTTCCCCATCTGAAAAATGAGGGTTTAGACCCTATGTTAGGTCGTTTCCAACTCTACATCTTTGGCCCTATAATTCTACCCACTGATCATAGTTCTGCTCTCTGGGGTCAAACAGAGCATCTCCAATACTCTTTGGAAACAACGATGCTCCCTC